TTCTCTGGTGTCCCAAGGGCTGAAGAGGTCATGGCTGCTGGATGCCAAGGTGGGATAGCCCTCACGGCTGCCTTAAGCAATGCTGGGGCTGCGCTGTCCCGAAAAAGCTGAGAGGAACACAAGCCACTTGTCCTGTGTCCCTGGCTCAGGCCCCAGGCTGAGGGTTAATTCCTCCATGACTCTAGACCTTACATAATGTAGCTGTGTTTTACCAGTGTCCTAGCTCCCCTTCCAGGCTGGGAGAGCACGAGGAGGGTGATGCCCCTGCAGAGTAAGGAGAAGCCTGATTTTGATCTCACTCACACCAGTCTTACACCAGCATAACACCCCTGACTTTGCTGGAGCTGCTGGTGGCAGTGAGGGGGAGTCAGGCCCCGCTCTGCTGGGGCCTTTAACCCATGTCCCCGGGCAAAGCCGGGAACCCAGGAGTTCTGGATGCTCACATCCACTTACCTCCCTCTTCCTCCCTGCCAGCTCATGAGCACTTTGCAGAGGGCTCTCAAGTCAAACCAGTGTAGCAAGACCAGACTGGGCACCAGAGCAAAGAGGTTTTGTTTAGTAGATGAAATAAAAAAAAGTGACATGCTCACTAAACGAGAGGAGCTGGGGTCTGATCCAGCCTGCGCGGACATGGGTGGCCTCACCTGCGAGTGGTCCTGCTCCTTGAGGCACACAAGCCTAGGATGCCGGGGCCTGAGCATGTCCACGACTTGGCTACGAGCCCATCTCTTCTGCACTGGGAACTGTCAAACTGCAGAGAGAAGAGGACAAATCCTTTCTTTGTCATCCGTCTGCCGTTCTCTGCCCCAGCCCTTCGGTCTTCCAGCCTCCGTCTGAATCCAGGTCCCTCCGATCCAGCAGGTTTTGGCCAGATGTGGACCCTGAGTTACAGGGGCATCTCCCAAGCTGTAGCGAGGGAAGCCTTTCCTTTTCCAGGCTCTAGCATTTCCACGTGTCAGCCGCCAAGCCTCGCAGACGGGCCTGGAAAGCAGGGCCAGGGCTCGCGCACACAGACCCAGCCTTTCAGAGGCGGTTGCTGCTGCTGCTGGAGGCAGCCTGTGCTGCTCGCTGCCGTTCCCCAACGCCCACGCAAGGAAGTGGTTAGATTTCTCAGAGAGGAAAAGGGAAGTGGGACGACTTCAGACAGCGAGCTCAACTTCTGCCTTTCATTCGGAGCTGGCTCAGCTGCCGTTCGTGTCGACTGGCCAGAGTCCGCGAACCAGCTGGCCCCTGGAGACAGGACCCCTTCCCCCCACCTTCCTCCTCTCCCTGTGAAGGTGAGTTGTCAGGGTTTGATTTTTTTTTTTTTCTTTTCCAAGGGAGTAGGAAGCTGGTGCCCCTAGCGGAGCTGCTGGCAGCACATTCGACCCCTGGGGTGGTGCCCTCAGAAGAAGAACAAAATCTTTGTTCTGTGTATTTGCTTAATACAGGAGCAGCGCTGGGCTGGGAACAAACTTCCTGCCTGATACTGGCTTGTCCCCTTTTGCTTTGCAGCCATTGCTCCTCAGGGCTGATTTTCCCCCTGCACCCCCTGGTTCTCCCAGGCTGTGTTAGTTTTGTGGGAGGCCTGAAAGCTCAGCTGATGTGGAAGGGTCCCCAGCTGGGCTTCCCCAGAGACGAGTGCAAACGGCGTGCGGCATGACACACCCCATCTCCTGGCTTCCGCTCCCAGGTTTTTATCTGGGCCCCCTCCCTGCGCCCTCAGCCTGCTTGCTGCCTGGGGCCGGCATCACGTTGTCGAACTCGCAGAGTTACTTCTGCTTTAGGCCCTGCTGTAGGTGAGAGGAGAACCGGAGCCCCGACTGGCTTTTTTCTTCCCCTCTTTGGCTTTCCCTTTTGATCCTGGCACTGCCTTTTGATGCAGTTCAGGATGCAGGAAGGTCTCTGCCCCCAAGCTCGGGGTGCTCCAGCTTTGTCCAAAAGGACTGGACCGATTCCTCTTTGAATGCTAGGTGTGTTAGGGGGTCACAAGCCATCTGGGATGCAGGTGCAGGGTATGAGCTCTGACCTGTATGCTCCCTTAGCAGCTGACGCAGGTGGGCTGGTGGGCAACATGCTGATCTGCTGGGCAGTGGGCCTTGTGAGTCTGGGTTTGCTGCTGAGCACAAGCACAGCAGGATTTGCTTTGGGAAGTACAAGCCATCAGCCAGGCAGAAAGCTCTTCTTTGTGGCAGGTTTCCTCAGGATGAACCGTGCTGGAGCAGGCAGCCCCAGAGCCGGGAGCCCGGGGAGGGGGAATGACTTTGGTCAGTCATTTGGGGTAAGGAAGAGGAAGCTTGAGACTCCTGAGCCATTTTCACCCAACCAAGTGTCTTCCCCTGCCCCCCGTCCTGGCTCCTCACCCTGCTGATGTGTTATGGGGGCACTTAAGTCATGGGCACCTTCTTGCTAAGGGACTAAGTGAACTCTAATCCTAGGGAAACATGATTGTCTCCAATCTCCCCTGTCACTTAAGTCCAGGTCCTTAATGGGAGTCTGGACCTGAGTCCCTTTTTGGGATGTGGGCCTTAAAGTTTTCTATGTATTCCCCCCACCTCTGAAAAGGACTGATCACCTCCTTAGGTGATCCCTGGGGTATAATATCTTTATGGCAGTGTCCAGGCCAGATGTGCTGTGAATGTAGGGGAGCGCTATGGGGAGCAGCTCTGCCTTCTCTGGCCCGGGCAGCAGGAGTCTGGCAGAGACCTGCAGTGCGGTGTCCCAACCTTGGACTGGGACAGGAGCCTCTGGGATGGATTTGAGGTCTGATTCTCAGCCTTGGGTTTTCTGTCCCACGACTGAAGCAGTCTGTCAGAGGGAGCAGGCTTACCCCTGCCTTTAGGTACTTAACAGCAACTGCCCCTGCCAATTTAAAGGGCAGTGTTGATAAGGACTGGAGAGATCGTGGCTTCTACCTACTCCGACATAGCCTCCATCCATCCCCCCGTTCTAGCTGCCCACAGGTGAATGAGCTATTGAGTGGGGGGCAGGACAGACCTCGCTGCTCAGCATGGGGGCAGGGAAGGTAAAATAGTACCTGACGCTCCTACGTGCTGACCACGACTTCCTGCAGAGCCAGGACACCCGCTCCGGCAGTGCAGGGGTGCAGATCCAGCACTTGCACTGTGACGGACTCCAGCCCCGCACACAGCAAACTCATGGAGGCTCCTTCCATTGAGCAACTTCCTCAGCCTAGATCAGGAGCCGCCAGCTGCTCAGCTCCAGCCAGTGCTATTCTCTCTCCCAGGATGTTTTTTAATCAGTGAGGGCCTCAAGCCTGACCAGAAAAGGAGTCCCAGAGGAAGATATCTGAGCCATATCAGCTCTGGAGATCCACTCCTCTTGGCATTTCCCAGCACGCGAAGGTTGTAAACTTCCGTGGTTTTCTCCTGGAGAGAGCCAAGATCTGCTGGTTCGAGGGCTGTAATGAAGCAGCTTCAGCAGTGAATGGGACCAGCTAGTTCAATGGTAGTTCAGAGGTAAAGGTGCCCACCCACGGGGAAATCGTTGCGTAGGCCCATTATTTTCTGCTGCTTTATTGTATGCAGAGGTGGCTGGAAAGCTCAGTTTTGGTTATATGGTTCCTACTTCTTTCTCGTGTTACATACAGCTTGAGATCTTGTGTGCTCAGTGGAGGACGGGGAGAGCCAGGGGGGCTGTAAAATGCACTGCCAATGCAAGGGAAACATAAACGAAGGCAGGATGAGATTATTTAAGTTGTGTAAACCTCATTGCAGCTTATTAACAGCGATTTAATAGTTGTTCTCTAACAACAGCTGGAATGAAACGTGGGGGCACATGTGCTCTCGCACTCTGCCTCAAACTATTCAGTGCCCAGCCCTTCAATTCACGACTCAAAAGCAAACGGTCCAGTACGTTCTTTCACAAACAATGGAAGAAAACACTTGGTATTTCCAGGCTAAAAATAATAAAACAACCTCTTCCCCATGCTGCTTTTTTTTTTTTTTTTTAAACTTCTCAAATCATCTTGAAGCATCAAAAAGAAAGGAGGAGGCAAAAATCTCCCTTTTTTCTCCCTTTGCAACTCACTTAAAAATAATTGAAATACTGGCTGTAAATGCTTTCTCCTCCCCTGCCCTTCTCTCCGGAGCAGTATGTGCTGGTTAGTTGTATGTGAGGTTTCTCCTCCCAGCAGGCTCCTCTTTGCAGCCAATTCTATGCAGATGTGCCTCCCTATGCCCCCTCCGGGCTGCTTCCTGAGCATCTCACAGCTGCAAACACGTGTTTTGTGGTGCTTGCAGCACGCTGTGGTAGTAACCACTGTACAGTCTGATCCAGGCTTTTGATGGTGGCTGCAGTGGTAGAGAAATCCACTCGATACCCTCAGATACCGTCATCGGCCTTAAAAATAATAATAATGAAAAGGATGACGCTTGTATAACTAAGAATACTGTCTGTACCGACCAGCTAATATAAATCACAAGGGCTGTTAACCCGCATGCTTTGGGGCGTAAGTTGATGACCAGCTGAGGTCAGGAGGGCATTTTCCCTTAGAGAGATGGTACTGCACCATTAAGTTTCTAATGGGGTTTTGTACCTGTGTGTGAATCATCCAGCGTTACGTGTAGGTTGAGGCAGGGGACAGCTACAGCCAGATCAGTGGTCTGCTCAGCTATAGGAACTCCCTTGTTCTCCACAGTCTCAAAGTCATATCAGCTCTGCAGCAATCAAGCTCTTGGAGCGTGGGCCTGGACATGGCAGCCACTTAAGAAGTGGGTAGGCTGTACGTGATGTCATGTGGACATACACTTTGCTAGGATTCAGACCACTAGACGGTGGTTTTGGCAACATCCTACTCATGAGGCTGTCTTTCTTCTGCTCTTCACAGGCCTGTGAGCCTGAAATCTGTTATTAGAACCTTTTATTTTTTCTTCCCTCCTCAGCATTCAGAGCTGCCAAAAAAGTGGGCAAGGTCGTTGCCTCCAAAACCAACAAAGAACAAACTCTGCACTTAATATCCTGCCCGCCACACCCGGGGGTGGCTCAAGAGGCCCTGTGAGCACCATCCAAAAGTTATGCACCTTTTAGATTCAAACTGCCTCCAAGGGCAGCCCAGGCCAGCACATGAAACCATCCCGATTCCTTCCCCCTTTTGGCCAAAGCGCCACTGAAGACGATAGCCTGAGTTAACAAAAAAGTGGCTGTAACAATCAGCCAGTCCCTCCTGGCCCCTGTTTTCCGAGTGCTACAAGCTGCTTTGCCACAGTGCTTTCATGATGACTTCTGCACAGTGGCAAAAGCCAATAGTGAGCTAAGCGGGTGGAAGTTATTAGTCATGAGCTGCATGGGGTTTGAATGTACCGCCGGGCTCTGCACAGAAAAGCAGCTTGATTTCTGAGTGGAGGTGGGGAGAAGAAAACATTTCAACCACAAGAGCTGGAGGTTTCTCAATAGGAGGAAGGGACGGGTAGAAGAACCAAACTGAAGCAAGTCAATGGGCCAACAAGCTGCACACTGTTCAAATGTGTCGGCGGGATGCTTTCCGGAGGAAGAGGGTGGTGACTTCTCATTTCTCTTGGCCACACCTTCACGCTGGCCAGGTTCTCTGAAAGGAAGAGCAATGACGGCAAGCGTTTCTGCTACGTGATGAGATGACCTGCGGAGACATGCTTGGCTGATTGTTTTTCTCTAGAGAGCTTTCATCGGTGGTTCTCAACCAGGGTGCATGGAGATCCTTTTAAGGGTGCCGTTCTGATATTAGCACTGTTAGGTGCACAAGAGTCTCAAAATAAAGAGATTTCAAATAGGTATCCATGGTGTTAAAGCCATTCTGACCTGTCGTGGTCTTTCAGAGCTCTTTGCAACTGGGGAATTGCTTCCCTGTTCTTCTCTAGCCAAAACACAAGTGACCGCTAAAAGCTGCCATTTTCCAAGGGGTGCTTGACTCTAATGAGCAGGGATCCTGGTTTTCTATGATTTAAAAAAAATTCTCCAGTTTTCAGTTTATAAAAAACCCAACCCCAAATCTACATTTTTCCGTGATATTTAAATGAAACACCACTAGTGTGTGTGTGTGTAGTGGTGTTTCATTTTAATAATGGAAAAATGTAGATTTGGGACACCTTGGAGGTGTCTTTTTAAACTGAAAATTGGGATTTTTTTTTTTTAAATCAGAGGAAACCAGGATCCCTGCTAATGAGGAGTGCCTTGAGTCTAAAATAGTTGAGAACCACTGGGTTAGGTCCTGGTTGATGTTATGAAGGAGGCGTCTCAAAGCGCAGGCAGACACTTCCTAACCACCCCTTAACGGCAGCCTCTGCTTTGTTTAGGGTGCTCAGAGGAACCTCAGGACTTGCGGTCGTTACCGTTACTTTATAGCGGAAGTCAGCTTCGTTAAACCCGATTGACTAATGGAGAAGTGAAGTAACATGCCCCAGATCAAGCAGGTAGAGCCAGGAACAGAACAGAGTTGCAATCCAATTCACATCCCCCTGATGTCTAAGTCGGCCATAAAATAGGTATCCTACCAGGCAGCCCCAGCTGGTACATCCTGGTGTGCTAGTCCGTGGAGGTGCTGTGTACAGAGATGCTTTGGTGTGGTGCATACTGTGGCACCAATGAAGGGTGCTAGGGGGATATTAAGGTTGATTCTGGAAGGTGATTGGTGGCACGGGCACCGGTAATGGGATAGACAACACTTGGTCTCCTGGGTGCCCGTATGGATCTGCTGTGGCTCGTAGCGGCAAAACAGTGTTGCCAGCCACGAGGTGAGTAGGTGCCTCGCCATCCTAATGACATCCAGATGGCACAGGCTGTTCCCAATGCACTCCAAGCTGCCCCCTCCCCAGGGTGACCGCTGTTCCTTTGATCTCGCTCTCGTTCAGCTGCAGCAGCAGCATCTGAAGAATGTGAAGCACGAGAAGGAGCTGGCCTGAGCTCCCCAGGGGAAGGCGCAGACACCGCAGGGTCGGGCGGGCTCAGGGCAGCCAGCTGTTCTGTTCTCCAGGGGAGAGGCAGAGCAGGGCGGGAGGTCTGCGGTGAGTACTGAATGCACCGCCAAGCCCAGTTAGCACCTGGATGGGTCCGTCTCCTCGTGACGGGGGCAAGTCATGAGCCTCAGTCCCAGTCCATGAGAGGCCCAGGCCTGCTGCCCGTACAGGATGTTTATGCATGTCAAGAGAACGATTTCAAGCTCACCCCCCCACCAGCGTGACGCAGATGTTCCCAGGAACCAAGACTAGCAGCTGGTAGCTATAAGATGAGACCATTCGGTGGGACAAGCTCTGACTTCCGGAGGAATTCTCTTCTCCTGGGCCCTTCTCGCTTCCCTGATGTTTTGCTTCTGGACACCCAAAACCCAGAAGTCCTGCCTAACCTGGTCCCATTCCTCCTGCTTCATCTCCTCCTGCCACCTGCTGCTGGTCATCATCCTTTTCACAGGGGTCCATGCCAGGCCTGGCTAGAGGGGGCAGTGCCTGCAATGCCAAGAGCGGCTGGAAAGCCCAGAAGCAATAATAATAAAGTTGATCTTTATGAGTGCATTGGGCTGCCCACAAAAACAGAACGGAGCTCACAAGCGACTTCTTGCTCAGCCGGCTCGAGTCCGCTCCCCCACCCTTCCTATAGAGCCTGAACACACGTCCTTGTGGGCTGGGGCTCTTCTCCTCCAGAGCAGAACTGGTGCCAGAAGGTTAATAAGTGATTAGAAAGTCCCTTAATGGTTGGAGCCAGCTTCCTGTTTGTGAGGGTTATCAGGGCCCTGTTGCTTCCTTGAAATGCTCCGAATGGGGCAGGTTGGTGCCAAAGGGCCATTCCAGGGGGATTTGCAAAGGCAACTGAGAGAAATGGTTTTATCCTTTCAGGAAGAAACTGGGCCTGGCCGGTCACCTTGCTGCCATGTGTCTACCCCACGTGCCTCAGGCGGCTCCTAGCGGTCTGCCCTCCTGCTAGCAAAGGTTGCTGTAATGGTGCTCGGAGATTCCCCTCTCCTCCCCTCACCCGGCCAAAAGCACGTGGGGAGTCCTTGAATGCACTAAATGAGCATTATGTGCTGGTGCCGCCTCCTATGAGTGTCCGGTGTCATGGGCCCACTACAGAAAGGACGCAGACGATGTGACGGGCTAGCTGGCAGTGACTTAGCCCAGGGGTTTTGAAGGGGCAAAAGATGTTTGGAGGACTTGGGATTACCGTTCCTCACCAATCAGGTCCCAGAGACTTGAGGTGTCTGTCACTTTAAGAGCAGGGAGGCTGCTTGAGAAGCAGCTTGCAGGTGCGGCAGGGGCTGGTTAGTAAAGCAGCTGATGGGCAAGGGCTGGGCTGGAGCCGTACAAGCCCCAGCCCTGACCTGGGAGGGGCGGAGGGGGCGGTGAGTGCTGAGATCCAGGCAGCAGGTCTGCAGCAGGGCTTCTGCCTTGATATCCGAGCTGGGGGTAAACTCTGGAGAGTTGGACCAGAGGATCCAGGAGCACAAGTAGGGGCAGAGTGTGGGGTCAGAGGGTCCAGAAATTGTGGGGCCAAAAAGGCCTGAGCCCAGAGAGAGGGCAGTGTGTCAGCCCTCAGTAGCCCAAGAGGGGCAATTATGAACAGGGCCTGGGAACCTGAAGGTCTCACTGGCCCAGGAGTGGGGCCAGGGCCCAGAGAGGGGCTGAAGGCCAAGAGCAGGGTTGCAGCTGGAGACTGGTGGGGCCAGAGGAGCCTAGGAGTCTCATGTGGCCTAAGAGCAGGGCCAGGGCCCAGAGAGGGCTCAAAGTCTGGGGGACACAGCCGGAGAACAAGGGGGCCAAGGAGCCCATTACCCAGGAGGGGTGAGGACTGGGGCTGGGAGCCCATGGCCCAGGAAGGGCTTGACAACATCAGTGAGTAACAACACCTGCAAGGCATGGGATGTGGTGTAGGGATGGACGGAGCCATGCAGTTAGGCTTTAAGGCAAGATCAGGTTTGGGAAGCCCTGGGGCAGCTGCCTGTTTTCTAGAACTAAACAGTGACAAGGTATGGCAGACGAGGGAGGGGAGTTTGCCTGAGAGGCGACAAGGCTGGGAGCTAAGAGGGTACTCCAGGGGCAGAACGGCCATCCACGGAGAGGCACTTTAGTGAGGCTTTTGATACGGTCTCCCACAACATTCTTGCAAGCAAGCTAAGGAAGTACGGGCTTGATGAATAGACTGTAAGATGGATAGAAAACTGGCTGGATTGTTGGGCTCAATGAATAGTGATCAATGGCTTGATGTCAAGTTGGCAGCCGGTATTATGTGGAGTGCCCCAGGGTTTGGTCCTGGGGCTGGTTTTGTTCAGTATTTTCATTAACAGTCTGGAAGATGGCATAGAGTGCACCCTCAGCAAATTTGTGGATGACACCAAGCTGGGGGAGTAGTAGCTATGCTGGAGGGTAGGGCTAGGACTCAGAGAAACCTCAACAAATGAGAGGACTGGACCAAAAGAAATCTCATGAGGTTCAACAAGAACAAGTGCAGAGTCCTGCACTTAGGACAGAACAATCCCCTGCACTGGTACAGGCTGGGGGTGACTGGCTGGGCAGCAGCTCTGCAGAAAAGGACCTGGGGGTGACAGTGGACAATAAGCTGAATAGGATCCAGCAGTGTGCTCTTGTTGCCAAGAAGGCTAACGGCGTCCTGGGCTGCATTTGGTAGGAGCATTGCCAGCAGATCAAGGGAAGTGATTATTCCCCTTTATTCAGCGCTGGGGAGGTCACAACTGGAATCCTGTGTTCAGTTTTGGGCCCCCCACTACAGAAGGGATGTGGACAAATTGAAGAGAGTCCATCAGAGGGCAACAAAAATGGTTCAGTGGCTGGGGGACATGACTTACGAGAAGAGGCTGTAGGAACTGGGCTTATTTAGTTTGGAGAAGACACGACTGAGAGGGGATTTAATAGCAACCTTCAACTACCTGAAGCGGGGTTTGAAAGAAGATGGAGCTGGATTGTTCTCACTGAACAAGGAGCAATGGTCTCAAGTTGCAGCAAGGGAGGTTTAGATTGGATATTAGGAAATACTTTCTCGCTAGGAAGGATGTTGATGCACCGGAAGGCGTTACCTGGAGATGCAGTGGGATCTCCATCCTTGGAGGCGTTTAAGACCTGACTCAGTAAAGCCCTTGGTTGGGAGTATCTAGTTGGGACTGATCCTGCTTTGAGCTGGTAGATGTGACCTCCTGAGGTCCCTTCCAGCCTTCATTTTCTATGATTTCTATGATTTTTATGATGTGAGTAGGCATGCTGACTAGAGAGGGAGAGGGAGGTGCATGGGACGTGTTGGGGTCTCGCTGTTGAGGTTAGCGAGGGATGTTTGGTGGGGCATTATTCTAGCTCCAAGCCACCATGTCCCCATGACCAAATGCTATGCAGGGCAGGGCTACTTGCCTCTGCTTGAGTGCTGTTTAGTATCAGAGCAGCAAGGGATAGTGCTGGTCCTAGGCTTGCTGGCTGGGGAGAACAGGGAGTGCTGGCATACATGGAGGGGGCTTGAGCTGGGCAGTGTGGGGAGGGCTATATCTCAGAGCTGAGGGGCATTGCAGAGCCCAGGGCGGAGGTGGAGGCAGCGGGGACAGCACTGAACCCGTCCGTGATGAGCTGTGCTCTCTCTCTTGCCTTCCAGCTGCAGAGCCATGGCTTACCACAGCTTCCTGCTTGAGCCCATCAGCTGCCATGCTTGGAACAAGGACAGGACCCGTAAGTCTGCCCGTCCCCTGCCCTCCATCCCCCGGGGGCTGCTGGAGTGGAGAGAGCAGCATGGGCTGTGGTCTGAGCATTAAGTGTCCCTCTGCCCCAGTCCCAGTAAGTGTAGGGGTTGTGAGGTGCCCTCCGCCTGCCTTGTTCCCCTCCACTACCTGATTTTCCCCTCTGTCCCGCTAGATAGGTTTATCTCAGACACTCCTCTCCTGCAGTCTTCCCATGGGGCAGCTCCACGCTGGCTGGGCCTATGGCTAACTCCTGGTGTTTCTCCTGAAGGGAAACCCCTGAATCGCTGCCAATCTCACCCTAAATCTGGGCCTGCAACACAAGCCCCCTGCCCATGGCTGCAGCACCTCAATGTTGGGGTCAAGGGCTCTTAGAGAGGAAAAGCTCCCGTTTCTGGACCCCCACAATGTCTGGGGATTGGGATCCGGGGGTTTACTCTGCTCCCGTCTCCAAATGGGGCCAGACAGAGGACAAAGCCCTTGGGGGGTACACCTGGGGAGTGGGTCCAGAAGGCTCCCATTCCCCCTTCTCTTCTGGCTGGGAGGCCTGGGATGGAGGAAGCCCAGCTGCCTGGGTAGAGAGGAGCCCCAGGGCCCAGGAGGCCCAGCCTCGGTGGCAGTCAGCTCTGGCATCTTGCCCGGCGCTGCGTGGCTGGCGGGATCACAGGGAACAGCACGTCTCTGTTCAGAGCCCCGGCATGAAGCAAAGTTCCCGTGCAGTGATTCATGGGGAGCGGCGCTTCCTCCTCTCCGGCTGAGCTGATGCCCAGGGCCGGGGCAGAGGATATGAGAAGGCTGCAGCGAGCAAGGAGCAGCTCCCAGAACAAAAGGGGCATTCTCTGCCAGGAGGGAGGGAGCCAGTGACGGGCAGGCTTGGCTGGGGCAGTCTGGGAGCACCCTTGGGTGGGGGAGTGGGGGTGTTTTTCAGGGGAATCCCACAGGGAGCATCCCAGCCGACAGCTCATGCTCTGGCTGGGCAGTGCCTGCCTGCCCCGAGCAACATGCTGCACAGCCAGTCTCTCCCCCAGCTGAACATCAGGGCAGGGGGGCAGCACATGGAGGAGTGGGGGGCACCGAGGGAAGGCTGGGGGGCATGGAGAGTGGGTGTGGGGCCTGGAGGATCCTCTCCCAGCACGGCTCAGCTGGGATCTTTCCCACTCGGCTCCCTGCTCCCAGCTCGCTGCCACCTGGCACTTCCCTTTGTGCGGTAGGTCCCTACCGCCACGAGGAGCCCAAGCACCGACCCCTGCTTGAATCAAGGCCCCCTCGTCCCTTGATAAACTCGGCTGCCCTGCGCGGAGGTCCCATGGGCAAGGTTTACCCCACAGTGCCTGCGCGCGCGCACACACACACTCTGGGGCACACACACACTCTCACACACATGCTGTCATGCACACACATCCATATGCATTCACACACTTTTTCTGTCTCACACACACATACACACTGTCTTCGCACTCTGTCACACATTCTGACACACATACACACTGACACACGCACAGGCTCTCACACACTCATACATACACACACATACATGCACTCACATGCTTTCACACACACTCACTCTCTTGCTTACACACTCCGAGACAGTCACACACGCTCATACACACACACGTATATGCACTCACGCACACACTGTCTCACATTCTCACGCTCTGACACGCACTTTTACACTCACACTCTCTCACAGACACATGCACATCTGTACGCCCACACATTCAGGCACGTGCTCACACACTCTTGCAGAGACACACACACACACTGCCGCCAGTCCCATCCTCCAGCATCTGCCTAGCAAGCAAGCACGACTGCGCCTCCCGCTAACGGGAGACTCCGCAGCAACTAGCCGTGTGCATTGGAGCTGGGGTCAGGACTCAGAGCACAGGCAGGGCTGGAGCTGGCACCAGCACTGTGAGGCTGGGCAAGAGGAGCAGCTGGTGTTGTCCAAAAGTGGCTGCTCTGGTCGTATGGCTGCGCCAGCTGCTCAGGGTCTCAGCCACTGGCTGTGGGCTGCAGGGTGGCACAGGCTAGTGCACGAGCAGGGCTAGCCCTCTCCTCTCTTCCCTGGTGCCCTGCCTGCTAACGCTGCTGCTCCCCACAGAGATCGCCCTCTGCCCTAACAACCATGAGGTCCACATCTACAAGAAGGACGGTGCCAAGTGGACCAAGGTCCATGAGCTGAAGGAGCACAACGGGCAGGTGACAGGTGAGCCCTGGGCCAGAGGTGCCTCCTTCCTGGAATCAGCCAGCAACCAGCTACATTGGACTGAGCCCCCTCCTGGGCCTGGAGAGGGGTTGGGGGCAGCCCCTTCTCAGAGGGAGACACTGGGGACAGGGGGCATTAACTAGTTACCGATGAAATTTCCCCTGAGGTGCCCCAAAACTCAGGTCTTTTTCACCCTCCCTGGGCTGAACTGCTGTTATACTGCTGTCAGGTGGTTCCTTTTAGCCCTTCAACCCCCAGAGATGGCTGCATTTCAGTGGTGGGCACAGGGTTTCCTGCACAGACTGGGTGCAAGGCAGCAAGACAGGCATGGAGGGAGTATGAGCTGGGCCAGAGGGCAGAGCAGTTCCCAGGGCATCCCCGGGTATAAATGGAGAGGGGTTTAGGGAGGAGGGGGAGAAGCAGCTGGTCAGATGGGTCCTGGTGCCTAACCCACCTAAGACAACACTTCTCCCTGTGAACAGAGGGTGCGGAAGGGACTGGGGGGTAGATTCAGAGCTGCCAAGCCTGGGAGGTGCCCTTTACACAGCTGGGGTTCCCCACTCACTTCACATGGGAATTTCAGGCATCGACTGGGCCCCCGAGAGCAACCGGCTGGTGACGTGCGGGACAGACCGCAACGCCTACGTGTGGACCCTGAAGGGCAATGTGTGGAAGCCCACCCTAGTCATCCTGCGCATCAACCGCGCCGCCCGCTGCGTCAAATGGTCCCCCAAGGAGAACAAGTTTGCCGTGGGCAGCGGATCTCGCCTCATCTCCATCTGCTACTTCGAGCAGGAGAACGACTGGTGAGTCCCGACTGCTCCGCATTCGCCTTGGCCTGGCCCCGGGGGGTCTGGAAGGGGGAGCCCACTCGGCCTGTCTCTGAGCGTTGCTGGCTTGTCCTCTCTCAGGTGGGTCTGCAAACACATCAAGAAGTCCATTCGCTCCACCGTGCTCAGCCTGGATTGGCACCCCAACAACGTGCTGCTGGCTGCTGGTGCCTGCGACTTCAAGTGCAGGTAACTGGGAGCCCCTGAGCCGCAGTGGTGAGCAGGGATGGGTTTGAGACAGGCCTCACAAGGACTGGTGGCTGCTGAGCTCTTGCTTTGTCTGCTTGGAGTCCATCTTCCCCTCTGTACATGGCGAGTTGTGCGCTGCAGGCTTGTTTCTAGCCCAGCCGGGTACTGGGGCTTCACACACCTGCTTCCTTCCCCCGGCACCCAGTTTTTTCTTTGAGAAATGTCACGTAAGACTCATTTCCCTGTCTTGAAATGGGCTCCCAGCTTGGAGCACTGCAGCCTGCAGGGGGGAGACATGCCTCAGTTCCTAGTGGACCAGGTCTCTTCTGGGCAGGCAGCTCAGCCTTCTGCGTGAGAGCGATGTGTGAGCAGCCCCAGGCACAATGTAATCATGTGCTGAGCTCAGCTGAGAAGCTGGGGGCTGCGGCATGGGCAAGGGGCCTCTCTACAGCTCTCTCGGAGCCAGCTTTGGTCCCCTGGCAGGAGGCACCGATGTCTGTTCCTTCCTGGGCTGGAGCCCAGCCCACTGGCCCAGTCCCCACCAGAAAGGAGTGAGCCGTGTCCAGGAGGGGAAGGACATGGCTCCTTTGCCCATGAGACGCAACACTTCTCTGGGTGTCCCAGGCACAGAGCTCACAGGGCATTACCACTCCCAGAAGCAGTCAGGAAGAGGAGCCCCGTCTCCTGGCCTCTCCTGCAGTGCCCAGCCCACGGCACCTGCTCCCAGCCCCCATGGTTCACTTTCCACACCCACGCTTTGCTTTCCCTGCAGGATTTTCTCAGCCTACATCAAGGAGGTGGAGGAGCGGCCAGCCCCCACTCCCTGGGGCTCCAAGATGCCCTTCGGGGAGCTGATGTTTGAGTCGAGCAGCAGCTGTGGCTGGGTCCACAGCATCTGCTTCTCTGCCAGCGGCAACCGCGTGGCCTGGGTCAGCCACGACAGCACCCTCTGCCTGGCAGATGCCAACAAGAAAATGGCGTAAGTGGACATCATGGTCCTCTCCTGGGTGCTCAGCAGGGTCTGGGGTTGTTCCCCTGCTTCAGGTGCTGTGCAGGGGATGCTGAAGGTAGTAAGAGCGTTTCACTGCTGATATACAGTGGGGGCACATAGCCCACTGCCTAGCAGCAGCCAGGTTGCCAGCAGGAAGCTCTGCTCTCAGGCCTGGGAACACCCCTGGCTGCATGGGCTGGGTGCGAGGGCTTGGTCAAGGGGCCTTGGCTACACTGGCAGTAGCTGGGCTGGGAGCTGCAGCTGCAGGGAGGTGGGGGGATGGAGCGGGGGTCACCAAGCTGCAGCTAAGCACCTTGTTTGGTCACATGCACAGGTAGAGCCACAGTGGGTTTGGGAGCAAGCAGCCTGGGAAGGAGCCTGGAGACCCTGGCGGTGACTGAGCTCCAGGCTACATGGGGGCTGCCACCAGCACTGGGAGTGCAAGGTGGCTCTGAGAGCCCCGGGCAGCTGGCAACCTCCCCCTGGGTGAGGAAGGCCTGGAACTGAGCAAGTCGCGTTGCACTACGTTGGGGCCTGAAAGGCAGCAGACCCCTCTGTGTCACAGCCAGGGGGGAGGTGGCCAGGTTAAGCCACCACAGTGACTGTCATCCTGCCATGGTGCTGTGGGACACAATGGGGAAGCAGCACAGGCCCTGCTGGCAAAGCCTGGCCAGCTTGCAAATGGGGGCATGAGGGGACTGCCCAGGGCGCTGACTGAGCTGTGTTAATGGCTCTCACCTCCTCTCCCCCATAGCGTGGCCGCCCTGTACACGGAGATGCTGCCTCTCCTGGCTGTCACCTTCATCACCGAGAACAGCCTGGTGGCCGCGGTAAGTGCAGGGCTGGGGCTGGGGCGCTGTGTGCCTGCCCTCACACCCGGTGACTGCAACTGGAGCTTGGTGCTGTGTTCCCCCAGGGCCACGACTGCTACCCCATGCTCTACACCTATGATGAGGGCCAGGGAGCACTGAGCTTTGGCGGGAAGCTGGACGTGCCCAAACAGAGCTCCCAGCGTGGCCTGAGCGCCCGCGAGCGCTTCCAGAACCTGGACAAGAAAGCCAGCTCTGACACCAACAACGTGACCCTGGACGCGCTGCACAAGAACAGCATCAGGTTCGTGTCGGCTGAAGGGTGCTGGTTGACCAAGTGGCTGGGAAGCCCTGAGCTGTGTCCAAAGCAGCCCCAGCTGTGGACCCTGTCTTGCCATCAAGGATGGTCCAAAGAACACCCCCTCCAGGCTGCTTCTGGCCAATACAGGCCCTGCAGGGGGTGGAAGGGGCAGCAGAGAGCAGCTGGGGTTCCCTGCCTGGTCTTCTGCTAGGACAAGTGAGGTCTTGTTTGCTTGATGGGCAATGGTCTTGTCTGGCCTCCACTGCTGAAGGCAGCACATTGGGGTGCACAGGTCCCCTGCAGCCCTCGGCTTCACTGCTGTGAGGTCTGGCTCACAGGCCATGAAAGACCCCCACGGTATAACTAGCCTGGCACCAACCCTACTTAGAAAGGGCCTGTCCTGTGGTGAGCCCCCTCTTGCCGGTCTCAGGCTGACTCCGATGCTTCCTTGGCCTTTCTAGCCAGATCTCCGTGCTTGCTGGCGGCAAAGCCAAGTGCTCCCAGTTCTGCACCACGGGAATGGACGGCGGGATGGGCCTCTGGGATCTCAAGGTAAGTGGGCACTGCGGTGCGAAGGAGAGGCCGTGGCAGGCTCGGGAGTGGGAGGAGGGTTGGTGCTGGGCTCCTCCTGAAACCAGGGTGAGGAGACCAGGTGCTGCCCTCCATCCCAGCTGTAGTCCAGCTCAGCCTCCCTTCTCCAGCAGGAGTACTGCTGGCATGAGCAGGGGCACTTTGCCCAGGCATCGACGAGGAGCCTCTGCTGGCCTCCCTTTGGAAGCCCTGCTTTAAGGCTACAGGATCACCCCTGACTAAACCATCCCAGCCACATCTGGCTGCACATGAAAAGACACAATTAAGAGTCGCTCTCTAATAGACATTGCCACCCCCCTGCTCTGGGCAGGGGGGACATGAGCCAGCCCCGCCCACGAGTCAGCACCACCTCGCACAGGTTCTCAGCCCACCACCCCCTTCCCAACCCACAGCAGAGGGTGACACTTGGGAAAGGGGCACCTCATCCCCCATCTGGGATGCAACTGGTGCAACCCCACCTCGTCCCCCATTCTTTCTGCTACCTGTGTCCGAGGTGGGGTGACACTGTCTCTGTCGGGCAACGTACAGGTCATTAGGCCTCGAAAGCTCCCCTTCATCTGGGGTGCATCTGGTTGCAGCAGCTGGGGGAAGGGAGAAGGCTCTTGGCTGGGATTAAGGACAATTTAGGACAGGGCCATAGGTTGAAGGGTGATGGGATGCTGCAGAGAGCGAGCGCCCCCTGCTGACTCTCAGAGGTAGGTGCAGCAGAGGGCTCAAACCTAAGCCACCTGGAGCCCCATGCAGCCGGGCTCGGCTCTCCACCTGGTTGCCACAGCCTCCGGTAGCGCCCACATCACCATAACACACAGGTGCTCATCTTCATGGCACCTGTCCCTGCCTGCACAGGATTAACCAGCCACTAAGCACCTTTGTGATGTTAGGGATGTGCCCCTGCAAGGGGGCTGGCCTGCTTGAATGCAGCAGGATCACTGGAGAGTAATAGACAGAGGCCAACAAGCAATAAAAACCTGGAGGGGGGTGAGCTGGAGGAACAAGGCAGGTGCTAATAGCCCGTGGGTGGCCTGGCTCCCAGCCTCCCACTGAGAAAGGATTTCACTAGCTATCACCTCCCCCTCCCTTTGCAGAGTCTGGAGTCTGCTCTGAAGCATCTCAAGATCAAGTGACGGAGCCACTGGGAAAGGCTTATCCGGCGCTGCCCATCCCGCTCAGCTACGCCACCCCCACCCGCTTCCTTTGCAGACAACCACCGCGCGTTCCCCGGGTGGCAACGCGTGCCCTGGCACTCCCCACATGCTCGGGAGCACAAAGGAAATACCAGGGTTTTTACCCCAATTTTTATGAAGAGCCTATGCTGGTCATACATTGCTTAGAGAACCAATAGAGTGGATTCTCCACTGAACCTGTGGCTTTGCCTTTTCATTCATGAGTATAATCCCAGACCAAGGGCTGCACTCAAGGAGCACAGTAGGGTTGCAAAGCCCGGTGCATCCTTATTGTGGCCTCCTTGGATCTATGCTTTGTGAGGCAGGAGGACAAGGCAAGGCTGTGCGGTGTAAATCACTGCTGGCTGCAGATTTCTTGCTTCTGTTGCTGCAGAGACTGGAGGGTGTGTGGGGTGAGGAGTGAGTGACGCAGGGAGCATCTTCTGGGGAAGGCAGTTGGAGGTCCTCCTTGCCTCAGCCACTGAGGTCCTATGTGATGCTGGTCAAGTGACAGACAAGAATCCACCCATTGCTGGTCACTTCCCCGTATGCCTTATTGCCATCCTGTAACCACTCCCTGCTCCACACACTGCTGCTTCTGGCTAGCACGTGTTATGGCCAAGCCAGAGGTAAGTAGCAAGTGCACATGTTGCACAGACCCAGAGACTCCCCATCATTGAGCGCTGCGCACAGAAGACCAGGACCGAGTGCTTACGATAATTTAAATTTTAATCAGCCAAATATACAAGTTTCTTTTCAATTTACCAAGCTTCGGGGCGGGGAGGGGGTTACCTGGGCATCAGAGAGTCAATGAAAGTTCTTTGAACAAAGAAGGGTGTGATTAAAAGCTGCTGACACTATCCCTAGTCAGAGGAGGGGGGGAAAACTAAAAAACCCAAAAACCAAACAGAAAACCAAAACCAGAGGAGGGAGAGGGGGGCTGGGGAGGGAAAATGGGATGGAGATGGGAATGAAGAGATCTCCAGAAGGATCAGCCATGAAGTCAGCTCCCAGACTAGTCTTGCAACTTTCTGCAGCTCAATTTCATGGGCCCTTTGCAGAAATGGATCTTGGAGATGCAGGCCTGGCCCTGGGGCTCTCCTCAGCCCCCCGCTCCCATGGTCTAGTCCTCGCAGTCTAATGTCAGAAGCGTTCCCCCTCCCCTGGCACCCCCTGCCCTGCCCCCACCCATGCTCCGAATCCTAAAAACATTCAGGTTTCCAAACGGTTACACAGAGAATTGCTGTTGAGCGCGGTTCTGCCCCCAAGGTAGCAGCTGCCCCCCTAGCCCCAAATGGAATTCTGTGCCAAGATGAAGACAAACACATCATCAGTGTCTCTTGGAGGTGAAAGTGACTTCGATGCTGCAGTACACCCTACGTGGCATCTATGGTAGGCGACACGACAGAGTCTCTGGCAGGCACCAGGCACAGTTCCCTGGCATTTCCTCCTTTAGCGTGGCCTGGGCTTACTTGTTCAGGGATAGTGACTGCATTCTTTTGCCTGCTGTGGTCGCTTCGTCTTTTGCTAGGGAGGGAAAGAAAGGAAGAGATGTGTCAAGGCTTCCAGCTGCGTATGGGGAACCAGAGCTGGCCTGAGCAGTCCAGAAAAGGAAGCCCATTTAGCCACTCCTCCTCTACGGTGCACCCAGTGCTCGGCCTCTCTGCTGTGGCTGCCCATGCAGTTACTACAGGTGGAGATGTTTGGTGCAACGTGGACATGGGATGGGATCCGAATCTCATGACAACTTTGGCTTGCTAGATACTGAGGCTGAATTTAGAGCCAGTCCCTGCCCTGGAGATGCATAAGTCTGCAGCCTGTTACTGAGTCCTGCAGCCACTTGGTCCCCCTGACGCACAATCCTGATGCACCACGTACATGGACTCACTAGAGCAGTGGTTCTCAACCTTTTTTGTACCAGGACCTGCTTGTAAACACTGATGTCCAGTCCTGACCTAGTAAATAGTTTAAGCGGAAAACAGACCCCTGGCCCTGCTGGTGCCCCTCACTCCCAACCCACTAGCCTCGACCCCGACACCCGTGTGTGGCAGAGAGGGTTGTAGGGCATGGGGGGGGCATGTGTGCCTCCCCCCCACGTTTGTGCATCCACAGCAGGCACGGGGCCTGCAGCCTGCCTAGTCCGGCACAGGCAGGAGCTGCTTCTGTGGCCCACTGTGTGGGACCCAGTGCACAAGGACAGAGTGGGGCAGTGAGACTCACTGCTGCCACCCCTATGCCAGCTGTGCGAGGAGTAACAGACATGGGAGGCAAGTGCTGTGCTGCCCTCACCTCCTGCCGACAGCCACTTGTGTGCCAAGCTGCGGCTCTACCCCGCTGCCATGGCCTGGCTGCTACCGCTGCTGCCACTCCTCTCAGGCTGCCTGCACTGCCTGCCACCCCACCTCTCCTCCAGGGCAGAGCATGGCCTGAGGGGAGCAGTGGCCAGGCCATGGTGGCACAGCCCGGCATGTGAGCAGCTGGTGACAGGAGGCGAGGGCAGCACAATCCCCTCTCCCCATCCATTACTCCTCACACTGCTGGCGGTGTGGCTGGCATAGGGGTGGCAGCGATGCTGGCAGCAAGGTGGGTGCACAAATCTGAGGGGACATGCATCTCACATGCCCCCCTGACACAGTCTGTGCCCCCACTCCGCCCCATAAATTTACCTGCAGGGAGTTGCTCTCCATGCTGTCTGGCTGCCACATGTATGTGTGCACATGCACATAGCACCCCCTACCTGATCACCCTCCTCCTACTTCTCCAGCCCCAAGCAGCCCCTTCCAGACTGGATCTCTGCCAGGCTACAAGGGGAAACCCACTGTTTCCCCTTTTTTTTCCCTCCTCTAAAGGAGAATCCACTTTTAAAGTTTGTTGATCCATTTTTAGTTTGTTCGTGACCCTTTCATATATTCTTGGGGCCCCTACTTTTGGGTCATGACCCATGGGGTGGTGAACCACTGCTCTAGAGGACTTGTGCAACGGGTGTGAAAATCCAGGGCAGGGAGGGGTAGGGAAGGGGTATGGAAAACTGCCTTTGTATGGCAGGCTGAAAATGCTGCAGATACGCAAGGCAACATCTTTTTAAGTTTGCCTGCTGCCTGCCTAACTAAGCCAGCACTTTATAAAGCAGCAATAGCAGCTTGTGGAGGCAAAGGGAAATGCAGCTGAGTCCAGGGTTGGATGGAAGAGCTGTCTGATGGCCCACAGGAACACCATGCATTTAGGGCAGAAAGAGAACCCTGGGTCGGCCCAGCTGGAGGTAAAGTTCACAGCTCAGGGAGGATATTCAGCTGCAGGGGGATGGATACCAGGAGGCACTGCGCTACTCACCTTTTCTTTCTTCCTCTTTCTTTCTGGCAGCTTCTTCCCTCTGCTTCCGGATGATGGCTAGTCGTGCGAGATCTGCCTTCGCCTGCTCTGTTTTGCCAGCTAGATGCATCTTCATGTATCTTTCTTTTGCCTTCTGCTTCTCTATCTCTTCCCTGTTGGAGTGAAAGATGCTGGTCATCATGGTTTCCATGTAAACACATGGGCAAGGTTAGAGATTGGGGGGAAGGTTGGAGTGGGAATCAGGACAGGGCATGATCTGCAGCAGCAGCCTCTGGCACTGGATCCCAGACACCAGCTCTGATCTTGGAGCACAAGATCTCTATTGCTGTTCAGTGTACGAAGAGGCTGACAAATTGAGGAGGATGGAGATAAGAACATTTAAATCCCTTCCCAGGCAGCCGCAGGGCCTGTGGGAAGCTGCACCGAATGCAATCTCCATCTTGGAAAACTATGTGAAACTGGATGCTTAAGCTAGACAAGCTCATTTTACACACAGGCTTCTCCCCATCTTTATTATGGTATCCGACTGCTTCCCAGCAGCCCCAAGACAGGGATCATGTCTATTTCCATTTGGCAAAATGGGAACACTAGCATACAAGGACAGAGTGATTTAGCCCAAGATTACAGAACAGCTGCCTCAGATCTGAGCACAACACCTCCTTGTCAGTTTACTCTTACCTCCAAGCTTCACCTCACCGCCCACCTTAAGGAGTCTCTACCAAATCGCAGACTCAGCCTGCTCTTTTGAAAGACAGGCACTAACTAGTTACATGGCAACAGAGTAGAGGGGGAAAAAATCTGCACTGACACCAGGAATCTAGAAGACACCTCCTAGCAATTCTAAGGCTCCTGCTGCACCCAAGACCTATAGAGAGCTCCCAGGCGTGTTGGTTTCACACTTAATGCACAGAGATCAGTAGTGTCCATTACTGGCCTTCTAGAAGCCTGATGCCAGAGTACAGAATAGCCCCAGAGGGATCAGACTGCTGTCTCAACCCATTTCACAAAGCTGCAGGGCTATACTTTTCCAGCTGCTGCCTGGGTAAGGAGATCTCATCTCAGCTAAGTGGTCTGCCCAGCGAAACCTTGATTCAAAGTGTGTCCTGATCAATATCTTCACACCCATGGAGCCTTTCCCAGAGCACAATTCAAAGACTCTGCTGAGATGCCAGTTTCACCCCAAGAGAAGTCTGTTCACTGGTGACAGAACACACTACAACTGTGGGGTGTGGGGGGGGCAAACCCCATGCGCCTTGGGCAGGTGGCAAGAGGAAGGCTCTTACCGCTCTCGCCGTGACAGCTCCTTGGGGCCATCCAGGTCCAGCTGAGTCACTTTTTTGGTTGTCTGCAGAACGCGGTTGGGATTCTCTATGTCTATTAAGCCTTCCACTCCTTTGCGCTTTTGCTAGGGTTCACAAACAGGACAGAAAGGTCAGCAACAAGACCAGGAGATTCAAGGCCTAATGACCTGTACGTTGCCCAACAAAGACAGTGTCATGCCACCTCAGACACAGGTACGAGAAAGAATCAGTTCCCAGGTTACAAGCCTCCCTCCCAATCGCATCTTACTTTATGGCACATCTTTAGCCCTGCTGCAAACCACAGCCATTACTACTGTTCTTTCCACTTCAGTCTACTGCAAGGAACAAAATTACCAGTGGGCTGAAGATTAACTGTAAGGACAGTACATGCTAAGCTTAGCTTTTAAGGGTAACATACTCCTTTAAACCTGGTATCTGAAACCAGCAAAGGAATGAGGAAAAATTAATGCAGGCTCTAGCAGGTTTGTTCCACTTTGAGAATGTGGCCTGTTCAGCTACGCTAAATGCACAGGAAGCTGTGGTACCTGATAGTCCTCGTCGTCTTCTTCACTTTCATCTGAATCTAAGGATTTCTTCTCCTTTCGGGGTTCCCCAGTGGCTCCTTCACCCCCCTCTTCTTGCTCCTCCTCTTCCTACAAAGTTACAGCAGATGAAGGAAAAAGGTAAGTTGGTGCAATGGCAGAAATCAGCAGTGACTCTTGAAAGAGAGCGAGCACAGTGAGAACACTAAGAGGGCACCTGGGGGAAGAAAACGGCAGAATTAGTAGCCTGCCTCTTTTTGTACTGCACCCATGAACAAGATGCATCTTGCTCTCCATGGCCACTGGAAGGAGGATGAGGAAAAAAATCATGTTCCTCTGTAACAAAGGAGATGTAGGGAGGACATTAGGAAAGATGATCTAGGGGCTCAGGTGGAGAAATGCTGGAAAAAGCCATCTGGGACTGTCACGGAATTAACCCCCATGGAGAGTTTTGAAGAGCAGATTGGACAGACATCTCCTGGGCATGGTCCCAATTGAGCATGGGCAGGGAAGAGACGAGATGCTCCCAAGGTCCTTCCAGGCCTACGTTTCCATGATTCTATGCTGTGACTAACAGAAAGCCCTTTAAGCTGCTTTTGCTCCTGAGCTGCAACATAAAAAAAAAAAATCCATGGGCTGTGAGGCCCACAGCTTCTCCTGCTAAGCACGTGATCATGGAGAACTCTTACCCGAGCCTTTTGTTTCTCTGCCTGAAGCTGAGCATCGATCTCCTCGGGGCTGGTGTACTGCCTGGCACGGCCTTTGTGGCCTCCTTTTCTACCTGCACAAAGAAATTAGGTCAGGAGTTGATTTAGTGAAAAGCTTCCACGAGCTCTGATCTCCCCCGGCCGTCATCTCTCGGCTCTGGCTATGCAAAGTAGCAGCCAAGACAGCTCTTCTTCCAGAACAATGAAAGACACCAGACATATCCAATTCACAAACCTAGATGAGCAGCTTTGTGCCCCTTAAAGAACTGTAATGAACCACGAAATCGTTCAGAGGAAAGCCAGCCAGACAACTCAGCTGCTAACAACCCCCTTTCCAGAGAAGGGACTTCTTTAAAGTTCCATATTTAAGTCAGAGGACCCAGAAAAGCTTTGGTCGAGTCCAGCTTTCCCTGCCTTGCAGTCAGCCAGCTATCAGGGCAGTTATCACTGCCCCCGCCCTTGACTGCTATAAGCTGATGCCTGCCATGGCTGCCTTGTTTGTCAGATGAAAATGCTGCTTCCAAGGGCTCAGGCAGCTCATCATGACGCTCTACGCTCTCCTTCCCCAGGCATTGAAACCCACGCATGTTGCCTCTATGATTCACTTCCTGGGCTGGCAACCAATCAGAAATCCCACAGCTGCTCTTTGCTGTCCCTACCCAGCAGGAAGCCCTGGCTGCTGTAGAGCGGAGTGAGGGCACTTGTGATAGAGGTTTTCCTATAAACTCCATTCCCCAGGCCCTGCATGGCTGCAAACGAGGACTAAGACCAAAATGAACCAGCTGTAGAAGAGATGCTGGAATCAGACCCTCCTCTATGCGCAGCTGCTAGATCAGGACCCCCGCCACCCCGAACAACCTGCAAGAAGCAGCAATGAAGGCAGCTTCTCAGACTGATCCCCTGTCCCCGAGATCAGGTGCTTCAAACCTCAGGCGATCAACGTGAGGTTACTGAAGCTAAGCGTTGCCTGAGAACACACAGCCCCTGCCAGCCTGGGTAGGACACCACAGGGCAGCCTGAGACGGAAACTTTTGTTTGCAGTGAGAAGTCAGTCTCCAGGCTTTCTCCTGCAGACAGAGTGTGCACAGCATAACCCGGTCACCAGGAGCCTTGTCACCCGTCCGGCTAACTAGCTTGCACGAGAGGGCTCTCTCCCCCGTCAGCCTCCGGAGAGCTGCTGGAAGTAGCAGTGAGATGCCTCTACCACGGATCCCTCCCTCTTCACCCCTGCAGCTCAGGAGGAAGGGGCCCTACTTCTACAGAGGGTGGCTCTGTAGGGGGAGAGAGACCACAGCAACATTCGTTTCTTCCTCAGGCCCTGCTGAGGTGCAGGGGAAGGTTGCACCCCCGCTATCCTCAGGGGACTCATTAGCACTCGACTTAGCCCATTCTTGCTGAACGACAGGGACTGAACAATTCACCCCTACAATGCCGCATTTGGCTCCGCACGGGCCAAAAAGCCTGTTTGGGGCTGACTGCGGTTGAGCCGCTGACTTGGACTGGGAAAGGAGTCTGTCCCACCCAGCCTGGGTGGGATGGGACAGTGACTCCCAGGCAAGGGGTCTGAATAAGCCCCAGCTACCTGCAAGGGCATCTCTTCTTAACCAGGTCCCTTGTCTCACCCTGTCTGTCCAGGGAGAGAGCCCTGCATAGACGGTGCCGAGGCAGACTGCTGAGAGCCAGAGCTAGAATAGCAGGCAGCTTGAAAGAAGTATGCCCAGCTGTTCTCGGGGACCACATTGTGCCCTCCTTCGCAGGGCTCTGGGGAGGCTCACGGAGAGCAGAACCTTTGCACGGCCATGTCTTTCCTTCAGGAGAGCTGCTTTCTCTACAGCAACGTTATCAAAAGGCCTCAGTCCCTCAAGGAGCCCGCGTCGGCCGCTGGCACCGCACTCCAACACTGAGGTCCAGCTCTCGATGCTCGCTCTGCTCTCACCTCGTTTCTGTTGTTCCTGACCCAAGACGCCGTGGTTAAAGGAGGATTTAACATCCCTGTTCTTCTCAGAGCTTACAACGGCTGCCAGGGCAGAGATGCTGTCAAAACTGGGTACCACTAATCTTCTTGCTCCGGTACAATGATACAAATTATAAGGGAACTATTAAGACCCCATATTTGATACGTTATGCTACATGGTCTGAAAAACTAATCTGCTACAGTATTACCACAATACAAGCTATTTTCCTGTCTAGTAGACCGTTTCATAAACTGCTTTTCTACCTCAAAGGCCAGCTTACAACAGCGAAAATTAAAGCATCTTTTAAAAATAAAACCAGCTGTCAAATCTTTTGATCTTGACTTTAAATGTTGTTAAAGTCCCACAGATATAAAGAACACAACTGATGAGAATTGAGCTTTCCCTGATCTATATTCAAGCCCGCTTTGGAGAATGGACAAATGTTTTACAACCCAAATGACTTGTGCCGCATCTCATCAACCGGAACGAGGTGCGGCTGTCCCAAGAATTACACAGTCGGTGGCTATTTCACCAGGAGCGTGTCAGGGAGCCCTTTGCTCAAGGCATCACTACACATCAGCTGGGATCCTGGTTCTCTCAGATTTCAAAAAAGTCCCCAATTTTCAGTTAAAAAAAAAGTAACCCCAATCCACACTTTTGTGTTGATTTAAATAAAACACTACCAATACATAGATTCATAGCACATATAGTGGTATTTCCTTTTAATCGTGGAAAAGTGTGGATTTGGGGTAACTTTTTTTTTTTTTTTTAACTGAAAACGGGGGGGGGGGGGGGGTGTTAAATCAGAAAACCAGGATCCCTGCACATCAGACAGCCCGAGTCCCCTTCCTAACTCCACCACTGACCTGCCACATCGTGTTGGGCAAGTTTACACAATATTAAGCGGTGAGGAGAAAGTCAACAGGGATTTATTATTTACTCTCTCTCTCTCAATACGAGAATTCAGGGTCACAAAATGAAACGAGTAGGTTGTAAGTTTAAAACTGACAAAAAAAAATAATTTTTTTTTTTTCACCCAGCGAGTCGCTAACGGGTGGAAGTTGTTGCCACTGGAGGTGGTGGAAGCTGACAGCTCAGCCAGAGTCAAAAAGGGACTGGACCCATTCTTGAAGGAAAGCTGCACCAGGAGCTATTGAGGATAGGAGTGATGGGCACAGCTTTTGAAAAAGAACATCCTAGATCTTCAATGCTGGAGGCTGCATGTAGGAGAGGAGCCGGGGAAAACCCTGGTCACACCCAGCTCCCTCGCCCTTTCAGCATCCGCCCTCTGCCCCTGTGTGACAGGCCTTTTTGCAATGCCAGGGGGAAAAACATGAGCCAAGGCCCACAGGAAAACACGAGAAGCCCCCCTTCATCAGGGAGTTCACTAAAGACTAGCAGCTAAACACAGGGACAAATAACAAGAACCAGGGAAGGGACCACGGGTCACAGATCAACAGCGAGGGATCTGGAAGGGGGCCCCGGCCAGCGTGTAACACAGGAGAAAACGGGCCCACGGTCTGACCGAGGCAACGGCCGCGCTGACGGGCTACGATGCTCTCAGCTATTCACCTCTGCCTCAGCTCCCCCCTTGTCCGACGGCGGCATGACTCTTCTCCTTTGCAAAGCGCCCCGAAACCACGGGCCCAGGACAAGCAGGGGAGAGGGGCGGCTTCCAACCACGGGGCAGGCGAGACCCAGCGGCGCTGCCCGTCCCACCCGGCTGCTGCACGCGTGACGGACACGGGCAGGTCTGTCCCCACTCAGCAGCGGGGGCGCAGCGAGGAGCCCCCTGGGCGGGTGGGAAACCACTGGGGCTTTGTGGCAGGGGGTGAGGGCGGGTCCCCTCCCCCCTCCCCTCCCCTCCCCTGCTCCCGCGCAGACGGGAAGAGCACGGAGGGGGAGGGGGGCAGGGCAGCACCTTGGAGACTAATGGGATCAGGGGGGCAGGGCCCAGGCCTGGAGACCCCACCCCCCATTACAACCCCCAAATGGTGCCTAGGGGCTGCACCCAGGACC